GACAGTAACTTCCTCCATCCACACCGAACCTTACCCCTCGATGCCCACCCAGTCCCATAGTACGGGCTGCGCCAGGCAACAGGATGCAAGGCAGCAGCGGGGACGCAGAGCGTCCTGAAACTAGGCAGCGAAGGGGTGAAACTTTCAACCGTGGCCATGAAGTGGCGGCGAAGCGAAGCGGGGCAATCCTGCTCGGTTGCTCTCGGCGTAACCCTGGCAAAGCCCCAGGACAATCACACTCAACAGAGACGAGATGGCACCCCTCCTGCAGCAACCGCTAACCTGTCCCCTCCCCGATGCTGCAACCCTGCAAAGGAAAGCAGGCAGCGGCGGCGGCGGTCAGGTGCATGAGCACCTGGCGAGGGGCGGCGCCATCGGGAGAACACTCGGGGGTCCGGTGCCACACGCAACGGGTGTGTGGTTAGCGACGGGCTACGCTCACCGGGCCCCCTGCCGCTGCCCCCCACGGGCCAAGGCTTGGAAACGTGCCAACGCGTCGGTAGCTGAACGCAGGGGGGCGCACCTCTGTCGAAGGTGCTGGCGGAGAGAAAGCAGGCGGGCGGCGTGGCATGCAGGCGGCGGCGGAAAGAAGCAAGAGAGGCAGGCACATGCCTCTCTGATCTCAGCACCTCTGCCCAACCTACCAGTCCCGACCCCCCCCCGACTACTCGTCGCGATCTCCACCACCGCTGTTAGCTCTCAAAGTGAGCAGCTGCACTCATCGACTTTACCTCGGCGAGCGCCGCTGTGGGGAAGGGGGATGATGAGGGGAGGGAGGGAGGGAGGGAGGGAGGGAGGGAGGGAGGGAGGGAGGGAGGGAGGGAAAGAGGGAGGGAGGAGGAGGAGGAGGAGGAGGAGGAGGAGGAGGAGGAGGAGGAGGAGGAGGGGAGGAGGAGGAGGAGGAGGAGGAGGAGGAGAAGGAGGAGGAGGAGGAGGGGGAGGAGGAGGAGGAGGAGGCGGACGAGGAGGAGGAATAGGAGGAGGAAGAGGACGATGGCATCAGTGCTATGCACAATAACTGCCACCATCCAGAGGTCCAGAGGAAGAGGAGGAGGAGGAGGAGGAGGAGGAGGAGGAGGAGGAGGAGGAGGAGGAGGAGGAGGAGGAGGAGGAGGAGGAGGAGTGAGGAACCCCCAGAGTGTGGGGGCGGCCCAGAGTCTGAACAGCACAGTCGGAAGCCCAAGAAGCGAATCTGCTGAAGATGTACGCTTTCCCTAGGGAATGGGGCGGTTTTTGCTTCTGGAGGCCTGCTTGGAGCGCCTCGTGGTCGCGTACGCAAACGTCTTGGACGCCCATGGGGCTGTCTGGAGGCAATCTTGGGCGGTTTGGACCGAATCGTCCCCCGCGTGGGCCGTCCAGACAGTCTTTGGGAGCCCTCTTGGCCCGTTTTGGAGCCCTCTTGGGATCATCCTGCGGCTTTCCTGGGCCGTTGCTATGGTTTCTGGAGCCTTCGTGGATCGCCCAGAAACCGTCTTGGAGCCTTCTTGGGAGCCTCTTCGGGTAACAGGGGTCGATCTTGGAGTTTTACTGGGCCGTTGTGGGCCACGTGGAAGCCCAAGAAGCGAATCTGCTGAAGATGTACGCTTTCCCTAGGGAATGGGGCGGTTTTTGCTTCTGGAGGCCTGCTTGGAGCGCCTCGTGGTCGCGTATGCAAACGTCTTGGACGCCCATGGGGCTGTCTGGAGGCAATCTTGGGCGGTTTGGACCGACTCGTCCCCCGCGTGGGCCGTCCGGACAGTTTTTGGGAGCCCTCTTGGCCCGTTTTGGAGCCCTCTTGGGACCATCCTGCGGCTTTCCTGGGCCGTTGCTATGGTTTCTGGAGCCTTCGTGGATCGCCCGGAAACCGTTTTGGAGCCTTCTTGGGAGCCTCTTCGGGTAACAGGGGTCGATCTTGGAGTTTTACTGGGCCGTTGTGGGCCACGTGGAAGCCCAAGAAGCGAATCTGCTGAAGATGTACGCTTTCCCTAGGGAATGGGGCGGTTTTTGCTTCTGGAGGCCTGCTTGGAGCGCCTCGTGGTCGCGTATGCAAACGTCTTGGACGCCCATGGGGCTGTCTGGAGGCAATCTTGGGCGGTTTGGACCGAATGTCCCCCGCGTGAGCCGTCCGGACAGTTTTTGGGAGCCCTCTTGGCCCGTTTTGGAGCCCTCTTGGGACCATCCTGCGGCTTTCCTGGGCCGTTGCTATGGTTTCTGGAGCCTTCGTGGATCGCCCGGAAACCGTTTTGGAGCCTTGCGTTTTCAAACGTCTTGGACACCCATGGGGCTGTCTGGAGGCAATCTTGGGCGGTTTGGACCGAATCGTCCCCTGCGCCGGCCGTCCGGACAGTCTTTGGGAGCCCTCTTGGCCCGTTTTGGAGCCCTCTTGGGACCATCCTGCGGCTTTCCTGGGCCGTTGCTATGGTTTCTGGAGCCTTCGTGGATCGCCCAGAAACCGTCTTGGAGCCTTCTTGGGAGCCTCTTCGGGTAACAGGGGTCGATCTTGGAGTTTTACTGGGCCGTTGTGGGCCACGTGGAAGCCCAAGAAGCGAATGTGCTGAACATGTACGTTTTCCCCAGGTAATGGGACGGTTTTTGCTTGTGGAGGCCTGCTTGGAGCGCCTCGTGGTCGCGTATGCAAACGTCTTGGACACCCATGGGGCTGTCTTGGGCGGTTTGGATCGAATCGTCCCCCGCGTGGGCCGTCCGGACAGCCTTTTGGGGCCCTCTTGCCCCGTTTTGGAGCCCTCACGGGACCGTCTTGCGGCTTTCTTAAGCCGTTGCTTTGGTTTCTTGGAGCCTTTTTAGGAGCCTCTTGGGCTGGCGAGGGTCGATCTTGGAGGCTTCTTGGGCCGTTTTGCGCCGCGTGGAAGCCGAATGGGCGAATGTGGTGAAATGTACGTTTTCCATCGGAAATCGGACGATTTTTGTTACTGGAGGGCCTCTTTGGGGCGCCTCGTAATATTGTTTCAAACATCTTGGGGACTTATGGAGCCATGTGGAGGCAATCTTCGGCGTTTTGGGGCGATCTTTCGTCGATTCGCAGGTTTCTTGGACCGTTCCGGGAACCTTTGGAACCTTTTTGGCCCGTTTTGGGGCCTTCCGATGCTCCAAGTATGCGAAAGAGCGTGTTCTACCGCTGCTGGCGGAAAACCGGGGGGGGTCACTACCGGTTCGAACCCCTCCCCCCCCCCCCCTCCGGAAAACCGGGGGGGGGTCACTACCGGTTCGAACCCCTCCCCCCCCCCCCCCTCATCATGAAAAGGGGGGGGGTCACTACCGGTTCGAACCCCCCTCCCCCCCCTCGAAAACCGAGTGGGGGTGCGGACAGTGGTGGGGACGGTGTTGGTGGGGACAGTGGTGAGGGGACAGCGGGACAGTGGTGGGGACAGCGGGGGGACAGTGGGACAGTGGTGGGGACGGTAGTGGTGGGGACAGTGGTGGGGACAATGGTGGGAACAGGGGGGACAGTGGACAGTGGTGGGAACGGTGGTGGTGGGGACAGTGGTGTGGGGACAGTGGGAATGAGGTGGAAACACTGGGACAGTGGAGGGTACAATGGTGGTGGGGACACTGGTAAAGGCGTCGGCGAGGACGGCGGTGGGACAATGGGACAGAGGTACAGTGGGGACAGTGGTGGGGACAGTGGGGACAGTGGTGGGAACAGTGGGACAGCTCAGTGGGACAGCGGAGGAGTCAGTGGGACAGTGGGGACAGTGGGGATAGGCAGTGGTTGGGTCCGTGGAGACAGTGGGGAGAGTGGAACCGTGGTGGGAACAGTTGTGGGAACAGTGGGGACAGTGCGACAGTGGTGGGGGCACTGGTGGGGACAATAGGGACGGTGGTGGAACCAGCGGGGGCAGTGGTGGTGAGGACAGTGGTGCTGGGAACAACAGTGGGGGATGTCATGCGAGCGGTGGTAGGGACCGGGAGTCGTTTGCTGGCGGTGCGTGGGGGGGGGGTCGAACCGGTAGTGACCCCCCTCCGGTTTTCGAGGGGGGGGGGGGGGGTCCAACGGTAGTGACCCCCCCAGTTTTCCGGATCCGGGGGGGGGGAAGGGTTCGAAATAGTGACCCCCCCGGCTTCGAGGGGGAGGGGGGGGGGGGTGGGGGGGGGGAGGGGGGGGGGTTTTGCCGGGAGGGAGGGGGGGGGGGGGGGGGTTCCAGCAGGGGGGGGGGGATTTTCGGGGGGGGGGGGGGGTGGGGGGGAGAGACCCCCGGGTTCCGGAGGAAAAGGTTGGCAATTTTCCACAGTAAAGCGGCGGTGGATCACGCTCTCTCAAGTATGCGGATGATGGATTTGCCCCCCCACTCCCCCCCCTCCAAACCGGCCGGACCAGGCCCCTGGGGGAGGGGTTTGGGGAGGGGGAAGCATTTCACACGCCGGGGCCCCAAGGGGTCGGCGGATTCCGGGGCGCGATCCCGCGGATCTGCGATCGCACGGGCACGTTCCGCGCGGGGCATCTTCGAGAAAGCGCCCCGCTTCCACGGGGTCGCGGCCTACGGGCTCTGCCCGTGAGTCCGCGGATGTGAAAATGGTTTTTCGCCCACGAGGGCGGCTCCGCTGGCCGAAACGGGTGGGAGGTCGGCGGAAACCAGCGGGAGCAGAAGCTGTCCCCAGGCTGACACATGCTTCTGTTTCAGGACGTGTGGTTCGAGCCACCGACGGAAGGCGGCCTGATGAAGACGCCGCCAAGAGAGCGGCCCCGATACGAGCGTGGATTCCGTTTCCAAGCAGTTCTTCTCGGATTGCACTTCGTGTTTTTGCTTCAGGATGGATGGTTCGGGCCACGAGTCATGACGCCAACATCGCAGAGCGGATTTCGTCTGGATTTCGAAGTGAATTTCCGGCCGATCTTTCTGTTTGGCCAGGAATGAAGACTGAACGAATCCACGTGAAATCCACTTCGTTTTTCGCTCGCCGCTTCGGGGTTTTGCGTTGACAGGAATCCGTGCAAAAATCCGCTGCAGCACGTCTGCAAGGTCGGTGCAGTGACACGAGTTCGGTGGTCTGCCCCGGGGCAGGCCGTGCTGGAGCCGCCCGCCGGGAGCGACGGCGGCGTCGTCCTGGGCAGCGGGGGCGGGGCCTGCTTGCGGCCCCTGAGCGGGCTCTCCGTCGCCGCCGCGGGGGAGCAGGCGAGCGTGCCTCCACTGGGTTGGGCCATGAGGTATATGGCATATCTCCACAGCCTCTGCTGTCTCTGCTCCGAGGAGGAGGAGGGGAGGGAGGGGCGGGGGGATTTTGAGACATGATGGTGCTGCTGCTGCTGCTGATGATGCTGCTGCTGCTGCTGAGGAGGGGGAGGAGGGGGAGGAGGAGGAGGAGGAGGAGGAGGAGGAGGAGGAGGAGGAGGAGGAGGAGGAGGAGGAGGAGGAGGAGGAGGAGAGGAGGAGGGAGGAGGAGGAGGAGGAGGAGGAGGAGGAGGAGGAGGAGGAGGGAGGAGGAGGAGGAGGAGGGAGGAGGTGGAGGAGGGGGTGGGGGAGGGGGTGGAGGAGGCGGAGGAGGATGAGCAGGCCGAGAAGGAGGATGAGGGGGAAAAGAGGGGAGGAGGAGAAGGAGGTTCAGAATAAACCCAAGGCCCAAGATGCATCACCGATGCTGCAATAAACCCTTCCGTCCCAAGTCCCCTCCGCGTGAGTCTCCACAAGCCTTCCTCTTCACTCCAAGAAGCGCCGCCTTGAAAGACATGCAACCTGGGCGCCTGCATTCGGGCCAGAGCTCGGTTTCGAGCATGAGTTGCCTTGTACCCTTCTAGCAACTAGTACAGAATGCTAAAAAGGTTGATCAGTCAGATCAGCAAGGTGTCCAGCGAGCTCCTGTTTCGAAATATGGCCGCCCCCGTCAATGCAGCATTGCATAAGTTTATATCATCTCCAGTCATGCACCCCGAGGACGTCTCAAGCGATAGCCCCATTTGACATGGAGCCGCCTTCCATCCGTTGTAAGATCACTGTTACCAAAGTTTGTAGCTGTTGCATTTTTGGGACGAATGTGTTTGTCGCTCAGGCGAGAGCCTCATTTTAATGATGAGCTGATCACATCCTTGCAGTCGCTGCGAGCGTTTAAGACCAACGTGCGCGTCGCTATGGCGAGAGCCCCATGTTGACCCCACTTTCATCGTTGTATCTGCTGCGAGATTTCAGGAAGAAGATACGCGGCGCTAAGGCGAGAACTCCAGCCTGATCCGTCCGTGTAGCCTCACTAAGCCACACCCTCCATCCTTGTAGCTGTTGCAAGCTTGCCAGTCTAATCTTCGTGACGCTAAGACAAGCATTCCATTTTGAAAACGACTCCCTCCATCCATTTAACCGTCGCAAATTTCATGTTTCAGGATTGTGAATGGTGAGTGATTCCTGGGCGAAACGCTTGGCCCGCTCTACTGACACGTCTGGGGGTGCGACATGGAGGAGTTAGATATAAGGAAAAGGGATGGATGCGGCGTTCGATGGTTGAGAGGAGGAGAAGTCAGATGGTGATGATGATGATGATGATGATGATGATGATGATGATGATGATGATGATGATGATGATGATGAGGAGGAGGAGGAGGAGGAGGAGGAGGAAGAGGAGGAGGAGGAGGAGCAGAGTAAGCACATAACTGTTCAAGGGTGGGCGCTGCGGGAACAGCAGCTGGAGGGGTGCCCGGAGGAGAGCCCTGCTCGGCATGACCTCGTCTTGTCTCCGCGCCCAAGCCTGGAGGGTTTCTCCGAAGGGCTCAGGCGACCCGTCCTCCTCCTCCTCCTCCTCCTCCTCCTCCTTCTCCTCCTCCTCCTCCTCCCTCCTTCTCGGCGTCATCCGAGGCGAACGGCGAGCGTGCCGCCGCCGCTGCCGCCACTGTCGCTGCCATGGACCGGCTCGACACCCTCCAACCCGAGGAACGTCGTCCATCCGGGGCTGGCCATGCTGCGTCAGGCGGACCTCCTCCAGCTGGTGTCCATCCTGTGCCTCCAGCTGGCCAACGTGGTGCACCCCGTGACCCTTGGCAAGCGGCAGCTTCCGCCGCTGACCTCAAGTCTATCTTTGAGGAGGCCCGCGCCTCCATGGTGGCAGAACTGGCGGAGGCCACCAAGAAGGACCTTATCAACTACATGTCGGAGCGATTGCCTGCCACGGTCATCTCGGCCGTCCAACCCCTCTTCACCAAGTTCGAGAAGTCCATTCAGCGGCGCTTCGCCGAGCAGGACCAGAGGATCTGCGAGATCAGCGATGAGATGGACTCCGTGCGCAAGCGAGGCGAGGCCATGGAGCTGCGCCTGCAGGCTCTGGAGCGGGAGCTCGACCTTGTCCAGCGCGAGCCACGCCCGACGGTGGCTCGGACGAGCGAGTGGGCTCGCAAGGTGGACCGCTCGGTGTTCATCATACGCGGCAAGGAGGACATGGCCAAGGATCTTGTGCAGCAAGCTCTTGCTCCATGGCTTGACGCTGCCCATTACCAGATGGGCGAGGAGTGCCGCCTGGAGGGTGAGGTTTTGGGCAAGTTGTTCACTCTTTACGTTGTCTGGGGCACGATGCTGTGGCCGAAAAGCGCGTCGCACAAGCTCACTCCCAGCTACGTCTTGGAGATGGCCGGTGGCGCTCGTTCCAGGTCCAGATGCCCGGCGAACGATGCGTACCCTTCAACTTTTCTTTCGACAAGAACTGGCAGGACATCAGCAGGGAGATCTCCGTCAAGAAGTGTAGGACCGCTCTCGGCGCCTTCTTCCAGAAGCCCGTGTACGCGGACAGAGAAGAGGGCGTGCTTTCCATCCAGTGGGAGAAGGTGTGCAAGATCGATGTGCACCCCTCCGAGCCCCCGAACGTTCGATGGAACCTTGACTGCCTCGCGTCCCTCGGCACGACGAGGGGTGCTGTTGATGCTATCGTGGAGCGCGCCCTGGGGGGTCGGGAGATCAGGTGGGGTGTGTAGCGCGCTTCTTGCCTGCGACGGGCGTTTCGCCCTAGCGTCATGGAATACGCGTGCAATCACACATTACAAGTCCACGGTCTTGAACAAGAGGGTCACCATCCTGAAGCAGCTGCTCCGCCCTGCGTGTATTGTGGCGATCCAGGAGGTTCACGCCGACGGGGAGGCTCTTGATTCGCTTCTCCGTCGATTCCGACACTCGCACCATATATGTTCGGCCCCTCCTGAGCGCGATCGGCTGGTCGGCGTGGCCACTATCGTGCCGACGGGCCCTGACCTCACCATCGCCCCCGACATCGTGGTTCCTGGCCGCATCCTGCTCGCGGAGATTGTCCACATTCCTTCAATTTTCGAAGTCTACAATTGGAACGTCCACAAACACGACATCTTCAATGACGCGTTCGGGCTGTTTGCCCGAAAATTCCGGGCCCATGTGCGCGCATCGCAAGCCAATCCAGCCAATTCGGTGGTTTTCTTGGTTGGGGACTTCAACATCGCCGACCCGACCGGCGAGCGGGCTCCAAGTGGCACTCCTGACGCTTCTGGGGCTGATGCGGCTCCTCGGCAGGATCGTGCCGGCGACCGCCGATGGAGACAATATTGGAAGAAGCTGGTCGAGTTCGACGCCGAACGCCCGACGCATTGGCACCAGCCTACGCAGCAAGCCACTCAGATCGACAGGGCGTTTACCTCGGCGCCGGCATGGTTAGTCATGGGGGTCTGGCAGTCCGTGACTGTTGCGGACGAGCCGCAGGAGTTGCACCGAGACGAGATCAGCGACCACGCGCCGCTCATCTTACAGTGTGTGCCGAGGCCGCCTGGCGACCAAGATCGTGTCCGGCCGCTTCCTAGGCGCATCGTGCAGGACCCGATGTTCTCGAATATGGTCGTGGAGTACGAGCAGCTCGCTGGCATTGATCGCCCTTGATTATCCGCTCCGTCCAGGCTGCGGCTAGCAATCAAATGTCGCCGTGGCGCTGCGCGTGCCACTCGCGACTTGCAGCTTCGAGCGCGACGGTTGGGCGCCGCACAGTTCGCCATGATCTTCCGCACAAGCGCATGGGCATCGCGAGGCAGGATGCTGGTGCGGCTCGTGCCGTGCGGGCCCGGCACGAATGGCCCGGGAGTACGTCGACGTGGACGTCGGCGACCTCGGCGGCGCCCTCGCGGTTCGCAACGTGGACCCCGTCCGCTTCCTAGCGGCCTTCCGTGACGCCCAGGCCGCGGCGCTCCTTGAGGAGGAGACTCGCGCGCGCAGGTTGCGAGATTCCCAGTTTTCTGGCAGGCCCCAGGTGGCGGTCCATTCCAGCAATCTTAGGGCTTTGCAGCGCCGCGCCCGCCTGTGGGACCCCAGCGGCCCCCGTCAATTTCTCGGCGAGCTGCAATGCGGGGGCGAGATTCTTTCGGATCCAATTTTTAAATCTCGCGGTTTAGCGAGCTATTGGGCTCCGATCTTCCAGGACACCTCGCCCACCCCCGCCGGCGGCGACCAGTACCTGAAGCGTTTCGCTCGTTCTGATGACTTTTCTGACCTCCTTCCCCCCTCCCGATCCACAATCAAACAGATTTTAAGGCGCGCCTTGGATTTCGCCCCTGGCCCCGACGGCCTGCCGTGCAAATGTTGGAGCATCGGAGCTGGCCCGTCTATAGTTAGCGACATCATTTGGTGGATTTCTCGCGGAGCCCCCATGGATGTAAGTTTTTATTCATCCCTTTCGGCATTCCTCCCGGAAGGTTGCAATCCTGACGAGTTGGGGGCGTCGGCCCTCGTGCGAGCTGCCCAGGGTGCTCGTCCGCTCGGCTTGAAAAACACTTCGAACAAGGCTGTCGCATCGGCGATCAACCGCTGCATTGTCGGCGGGGTGGCAAAGATCACCCCCTCGATGCAGAATGGATTTGTGCGGGGGCGGTCTTTCGTTGACAATATCGTTGCGTTAGACTCGCTCGCTCGGATCGGCAGCATTCAAAAGGACCCCTCGCCAGGAACCATCTCGAGATTGGTTCCCAATGTTGGTGTCTTTTGATTTCTCTCAGGCTTTCTCCAGCGTTCGGCAGGATTGGCTCTTCCGCGCGACTCGGGCAGTTAAGCTGCCTAGGGGGTGCCAGGCATGCCAGGCAGCAGTCGCAGAGTTTTACGTCCTCAACTTGTGTTGGTTCTGCGACGGCGACCCGCTGCTTCCGCTCTTCTGCATTAAGGCAAGGGTGCTACAGGGCTGCCCCATGAGTGGTTCATTATTTCTGATCGCTTCAAACCTTTTCCTCTGGGATATGTAGCTGAAGGTTGCGAGCTGTCACCTGGAATTTCCTAGGGTGTGTGCCGATGATGTCGGAGCCGTACTTTTCCACTTTGTTGGTTTTGTGCAGATGGCTCGTATATTCAAGCTCGCGAGCGTGTTCGCTCGCCTGATTGTGAAAGATTGTACATGCCAGGTCGTCCCTCTGATAGGTGAGTTCTGCGACTCTCTGGTCATGGCCGCTCGGGAGCTCCTTTCTCCCGGGTCGATTCGGGTTGGGCGGGGTTCCGGATCCAGGGGAGTCTCACCTATCTCGGAGTGGAGCTCGGCCCATCTGTGTCGGTGGAGCTCCAATGGGATGCTCCCTGGTGTAAACTACGCGCACGCGTCTTCTCCGCCAGCCGCTCCACCGCAGATGGCGCTACGAACCTGTTCTACTGCCACACCAGGTGCCTCCCGGTGCTGTCGTACAAGGCCCAGCTTTTCCCGATAGACAGAAGCATGGCCATCCAAGAGCGTCAATTGTTCGCCTCTCTGGAGGTCCCCAAGTTCGATTTTGTCTTGGGAGGGGTGGTTTGGACTTGGAGAGTTCGGAGGCCCTGCTTTCCATTCTATGTGGGCATACGGCGCCGCCGCCAGGATGCGCGCCGCCCTTGTGTCGCTCCAGTCGTGGCCCGCAGAGCTCCGACGATTGCGCCGCGTCGTCTGGCAATTTGGAGCCCCCGCGTGGCTTTCCACTCCCTCCCTCGCTCCTCCTTTCTGGACCTCGCCCTCTATCGCCCTCCTCCTCGAATCTGCTGCCCAGGGTTTTCCATCGTCGGCCAGCCTGTCAGAACCAGGTCGTCAGTGCCTTTCTCTGTTCCAGGCCGGCCCGACCAACAGCGGCATCGGACACTTTACGGCAAGCAGGTCCCGTTGGCAATCGCAGTTTCAGGCGATATTTCAAAGGCTCTTTTTCGCCGCGTGATCGGGGCCACGCTGGATCGCAGGATCACCAAGTGGTTTCTCCCGAGGGGCGGAGTGGGGCTGGTGGACTGGGGGGAGATGAGAACGGCCGTGCGACAGCTTCCGTTCGCGTGGCGTTCCGCCACTTTGAAATCTTGGCTCGGCGTGTGGACCACTGCCCACCGAATGAGGCGGCCACACTCGGGCTGCATTTTCGGCTGCGGTTCGACTAGTGATTCAATTTCGCACTATGTCCTGGAGTGCCCGAAGCTTTCGACCCTTGTCTCGATTGTTCTCTCTCGCGAGGTCCCCCGGGATCCCAGGGTCAAGCTTGGATTGTTTCGTGGTACTGGTCGGGATGATTTCAATTTTGCGTTCATCGTATGTTACTTTTATGCCTTTCGGCTATTTTCCGCCCGTCGCTGCACTGGGCTGGCTGCTCAGGACGTGCCACGGCTCGCTGAAGCTGTCAGGGTAGCGATTCGCCTTCCGCTGCTAGGGCCCCATGTACTCCATCCTCTATCTCCTCCTCCTCCTCCTCCTGCATCTCCTCCTCAGCACATATACGACCTGGGGCCTGGGCCCCGCAGCCGCGTACCCTTCCGAGCCTGCCAGCGACCTCTCGGTGCGGCAGACGATTCGCAGGATCGCGCTGGCTTTCCACATTTACAACAAAATGAAGCAGTACGCAGCGCCGTCGCCAGCAAATATTGCTGAAGCGGTGGCCGCAGCGAAATCTCTCCTGTGGCGCTGAGCCGCTGTCCGCCGTTTCTCACGCGCCGCCTCTCTCTGGTCAGGCGTGTGCGGGGCTGACAGACGAGTTCGCCTCAAGGTACGTTCACTCCTGCATCTCCTCCTCCCCCTCCCCCTCCTCCACCTCCTCCTCCTCCTCCTTCTCGGGTCGCCTACGGCCCCGGGGGAAACCGTGCACTCAAGCCCCCCGTCGGAAGCAGCTCGGGCGAGAGGGAGGGATCCGGCTTCTCCGGCTGCCTCGTGGTCGACTACACGTAAGAGTGACCCTTCGCCAGAGTGACTTTTGGTGCGGGCCCACCGTGGTCCCTCGATCGCCGAACGCGAGGCGGCAGTGGCGTCGTGCGCGCCTGTGTTTGGCTTCCCGCGGCCCCCAGAAAGCCGCGCACCAAAGGTCACTCTTAATTACCTAGGGCCAGTCTTGCGTGTAGCCGACCTGGAGACTGAGGCCTGTGAGACAGGGGGAGAGGGAATCACAGGGAAGGTGTCGGAGAATGGAAAGGGAGGAGAGGCAAGTGTGGGGAGAAGAGGAGGAGGTTGCCAACCGTTCCAGGCATGATCTGGGGCACACCGCACAGAAGTTCTGCATGCGAGGCATAACGCCGTGGAGGGAGGCGTGGTCTGCTGGAGAGACCTGGCCGTACCTGTACGCCGGCAGGGGCGCTTGCGCAGAAAGACTCGCCCAGGGGAGGCCTGGTCCGCCAGCGCGGCATTTGAGAACGCTTGGCGGGAGAGGTCATGAGTTGACAATTGGCACCCATACCTATGCGACCCCTAGAGCCTCAGGGTGGAATTCCGTGCGGGGCTATGGGCGTGCGTTGTTGGGTGGGGCCCCCCGCTCGAACGGGAGCCCCCCTCGGGTCCGACAACCCGCGCCCATACCTATTGGTGCCTTCATCTCCCTGCCCTCCCTCATTTCTCTCCTCCTCCTCCTCCTCCTGCTTCTCCTCCTCCTCCTCCTCCGCCTCCTCCTCCTCCTCTTTTGCCTGCGGGCTTCAGCGTGTGCTGTTCTGTCATCGAGGGGGAGGAGCGGTGACTGGCAGCCGCTGCTCGTTTGTAGAGAGGCGTGTGCTCAGGCTAGGTGTTCGATCAGAGACCCCCTGTTGAACGCAATCGTCCTGCTTCCGCGCCGAAGACCGCCGGAAGTCGCCAGAGACTGCCGGAAGACCGCCGAAGACCGTCGGAAGGCCACCGAAGACAGACGAAAACCGTCCGGAGGCCGCCGAAGACCGCCGAAGGCGGCCCAGGAGCGATGGGCAACAGGGGGTCCATGGTCGACCACGTGACTCGGGCGGGGTAGGCGGGGAGGGACGCGGCGCACCGCGCGGGTCGCACCGTTTCTGTGGACGCAGCTCCATCCCTCTGCCTCCCTTGTCTTTCCCTCCTTGCCTTGTTCCTCGCCCTTGTTCCTGCTCTTTCTGGCCAGCTCTTGCCCTCTTTCTGTTCTTGCCTCGTCCTCTTCCTCGCCCTCTTCCTCGCCCTCTTCCTCGCTTCCTCCTCGCCCTCTTCCTTGCCCTCTTCCTGTCCTGTCTTGTCAGCTTTTGCACGGTGAAGACCCGTCCCTCCAGTTGGGAAGCTGACGGATCTCATCACACGGGCTAGAGCTCGTTGCCTTTCCTCGCCCTCTGTCTCCTGATTTCAGCTGCCCTGATACGCCCGTGTTGAAGCGCAACGCGTGCCGTGCTCAAAGCGTCCGTGTTGACGCGCTGCGTGCTGGCTCAACGTGCTTGCCCACGTTTTTGGCGAACGCATCGCGCCAAACGCACGCTTTCAATCTGCGTGTTGAGCCCCGTGTCAACACGCCACGCTACGGGTGGCGTGCTGCGCATGGGGGCGGCTAAAGCTCTCCGAATGGAAGCCAGAGGTCGCACCGTCCCTGCGCCTGCACTTCGCCGGGGCCTGCGATCCGCCGGCCGCCGTGCTGGAGCTGCGGCTGGCCAACGGGACGCAGCGTGGAGGCGGGGCCCGTGCTTGGTGGGGGGGCAGCGTCCCCGACCCTCCGAGGGTCCATTTCGATCCGATCGATGCGATTCGATGCCCATTCTGGCCGGCTCGATCCGATTCGACTCCGATCTTCCGGCGATGGGATGCGGCCAGATGCCTGCATGGCCTTGTTTTGTGTACTGGCGCGGCCGATCCGATTGGATTTCGACTCCGTGCCGATGCAGCCCGATGCGCCGCACATTCCGATTCGATCCGATTTCCCGATTCAATGCTGACTGATCCTACCCTCTCTCTTGTGTCTGCGTGCATTTTTTCAGGATGTTTCCCTGTGCGTACTCATGATGCAGCCTCGCTTCGCACCACGTGACCGCCGCCGCTTCCTTTGGGCGAGCCGCGCTATCTTTCATCAAGCCCCTGAGCCTTGAGCGGAGGGATCCTGACAAAACATCGCTGGCCACCACCCCACCTACGGCCCTCCATGTTGCGCTACGGCCCATCGGGGGCCGTAGTGTGTACCACGCAAGAATCCACGCCAGACTTCCTGGTAAACGCTAAGCCTCATGGGGCCGTAGGTGGGGTGGTGTCGTTTGTTTCCTGGCCCATGGGGTCCTCGCATGTTGACGCGAAGCGGTGCATCACGCTCAGCCCTGGTGTCGAGCGCTTCTGGCCGCCGAGGTGTGAATCATACAAAGAGTCCCTCGCCCGAGTCCTGGGGAGGCGACGGCGGGCGGTTGGGCAGGCTCTGCTTCCGGAGGTACCAACGAGCACTCTCCCTTGTCAGCTCCCCTGACGATCATGCTCGGCGGCGAGCCCAATGGGAGAGACGAGAGGGGGCAGGCCTTCTCAGGAGGCAGCGGGGCTTCTCGGAAGCCTTCTGGCCCTCTGAGAGGCCGCCTCCGTCTTCGGAGAAGGCGACGAAAGCTTCTCAGGGTGCGCGAGGGCCTCCCTGTGCCTCTCTCCGGGCCTCTCCCTCCTATGTTCCCCTGCTCCGTCCCCTCTCCGGCCTCCTCTCCTGCTCCCCCTTCTCCACTCCCTGGGCGAGGAGGAGGAGGAGGTGGAGGAGGCGGAGGTGGAGGAGGAGGAGGACGAATATTAATAATAATAGTATGACGAAGAATTCGAATGATACGAATAAACATAAGGATGATGATGCTGATGATAATGATAGGCACAACAATAAAATCAATAAACATGACAAGGATACGAATACTAACAATACTAATAATACGACGAACTATATCATTAGTAGTAACCTCAATAATACCATTCTGAAGGATACGATTAATATAATCATGAACTAACGCTATCAATGACCATACCAAGACTAGCAATACCACTTACACTACTAACACGAACAATACTAACATTAATAATAATGCGGCGACGAACATCAAGACTACGAATCATGATCATACTACGACTAATACTAGACATAATAACACTACGACTAATATTACGAATAATAATACTGTCAACACCTGTCGTATTAATAATAAGACAACTTAGAATGCTAATAAGAGGAGGAGGAGGAGGACGCGGACAAGGATGATGCTGAGGAGGAGGAGAGGAAGGAGGATGATGAGGAGGAGGAGGAGGCGGACGATGAGGAGAAGGAGGAGGAGGTGGAGGAGGAGGAAGAGGAGAAGCAGCAGCACGAGGAGGAGGAGGAGGAGGACTACAAGGAGGAGGAGGAGGAGGAGGAGGAGGAGGAGGAGGAGGAGAACGAGCGAGTCGACGTAGTACTAACGAGTTATGGCGCCCCCCTGGGCTTGTCCAGCTTTGCAGAGCACCCATAGGCGACATTCCCATCTCCAAGCGAGGAATGTACTGCGGCCCATTTCGGGGGAGGATCTGTGATTCACGCATGGGTTCGCTAGGGCACGCATAACCTCATGAACATAAACCCACCCCGCCGCAAGACGGAGCCGCCCGCCCCATGGGAAGAGCGGATACCGAATCATTATAATGCTGAGGGGGGAAACAGGACGAATGCACCCACTCAGTCAGTGTAACGTGGCCGAACCTTAGCATTCCGACGCAGTTTTCCGTAGAACAGTCGAGACGATGGGTCGAACTGAAAGCTGCGACTGTGGACGGGGCAGGAGGTCTCTGAACTGATCGAGCACCCTCCTTCCTCTTGCCACCGCCCGCCCCTTCCTCAGCCTGGTCCAGGCTGGCACGGAGCAGCCTGTCTCGAACTACCCAGGCTTGCCGTTCCTGAAGAAAGACCTGGTGCACGGCTTGATCGGACAGCCGGGCTCGGCGCCCCTCCTACGACGCTAACACATCTGCTGCACTGCTCCCTGTCTGTGAGCAGACAAAGCAGCTGGAGGGTGAGCTCCGTCTCCAGAACTTCGCTAGCCTCGTGAGGCCAGGCGTGGCAGGCGCCCGAGCCGCGACCTCTCGCGGTCCGCTTCTTCTTCTCCCTTGCCACAAGCCATGAAGCGACCCTCTGGGAGACGACCGAATGGGCAGGCAGGTGTGAATGGACAAGCAACACGAGCACCCGGCCCTGCGCTGCTCGAGCAGAGGCCTGATGCGACGCCACATAGCCGCATTCCGGCCAGAGGGTTGAACCGAGACGCACAAGACCCAGAAGCGACAGAGCCGTTACCCGTGACGTAGCACAGCTATCCTTGCGACGATCGCAAGGCTAATTCAAACAAATAGAGCTCCCCTCTCGCTACAGTCTGACGCTTGCCTCGTACGCTCCCGAGATCGTAGCTTGTATCGAAACTGGCACGAAAGCAGGCGGCGACGCAACAGCAAATTCATATCTGCGCAGCCGTGGGTCACGAGAGTATTTGCCTCCGCGGAAGTCGTCAACATTAGTTAAGGGAGAGTCTCCAGTGCCTTGCCCTAGGCACCCCGAGAATTGCGAAGCACAACCTGATCGCCACCAATCTTCACCTTCGGGCGGTGAGGGTACGTAAGCGGCAGCGACTGGCAGCAAGCCTTTCGGCTCCAAACAAGGTTCTGCTTATGCTGCGCATGCGCCTCGAGCAGCATCGAACTCGAGTGTTCCCAGGCATAACGTTCAACATCATCCTCCCAACACCAGCCTCGATGGATCGCCGTCTTTGGTTCCTTGCGACGTTTCGGCATGAGGAGGGAGGTCCCCGATCCTCGTACCTCTACCTCTTCGACCTTCTGTCCTTGGGCCTTTCCTGTTCATGGCTACTTGTGTATGTAGTCAATCGCCGCGTTTCCCATTTCTGCGGCGTTCCATTCGCTCTTCCCTGATTCTTTCGGCCAGCTCACCTGAGTCGTTTTCCCGCTCGCACGGGTGCCTCCCTCGTTTGTTGTACCCGTGTCGTCTTGTCTTGCTCTGACCGTCGGTCTTGTCTCCACTTTCTGTTACTGCTGCCGTTGATTTTCCGTTCGGTTCACAGGATATTGAATCCCTTGCAGTTTGGACGTCGCCAGGCTTGGACTCTTCGGCCATCGCCCCTGTTGCTTCCGCCGTTACCCCAGTCTGTGGCCCTGACAAGAGGGTGGCCGTGGCGGGGGCAGTGCCGAACTGCACCCAGGGTTTTGCAAGGCATGAGGTTGAGAACCCAAATTGTTTGGCTGCTGCTCTGCGGGGTGGGGGTCTGTGTTCATGGGAGGCTGCGACACTGCTCAACGATCTGTTGTTAATCAAGCCTGTATGGCGGGCCCTTTCCCTATCTGTGCACTTTAGCTTTTCGGCGGCCAGCGAGGGGGGAAATGAGAAGGAGAAGGCCTTCTCAGAAGGCGGCGGGACTTC